GGTTAATCGTAATTGGTATGGTTGTAATTCAGGAAGTAATATGCAAGTTGGTAGTTATAATTCAGGAAGTAATATACAAGTTGATGGTTGTAATTCAGGAAGTAATATACAAGTTGATGGTTGTAATTCAGGAAGTAATAGACAAGTTGGTAGTTGTAATTCAGGAAGTAATATACAAGTTGGTAGTTGTAATTCAGGAAGTAATATGCGAGTTGGTAGTTATAATTTGGGAAGTAATATGCAAGTTGGTAGTTATAATTCAGGAAGTAATATACCAGTAGGTAGTTATCACTCAGGAAGTAACATACAAATTGGTAGCTGTAATTCAGGAAGTAATATGCAAGTTGATGGTTACAATTCAGGAAGTAACATACCAGTGGGTAGTTATAATTCAGAAAGTAATATACAAGTTTGTAAATATAATTTTTCAATGTTTAGAGACTGTAAAGTCTTTTCTTTACAAGTGTATCAGTGAAATATTTGTATTTAAATCTGTAGAAGAGATTTAAGCAACTTGTTAACAAGATTGTTGCACAATTGTTATTGCAATTCAGAAAAGTTATGCATGCTACATACATATATATATACTGTATGTTTGCTTTAGTAACTATTTTTATTTTTTTATGTGGTAGACCTGTGTTGTGAAACGGGAGTTTAGAAAAGCAGAATTTCTAATCAAACAAGCCCTTCGTACAGCCCGGTAAGTATGTTAGTAATGATATGGTTTGTGCAACTGAAAAAACTCAGTAAATTTTCCGTTGAAAAATAAGTCTTTGGTAAATATAGGCCTGGTGGTTAGGGTTATTACTCGCAATATGCTGGATCAAAACTGTCACCAAACATACTCACCTTTTCAGCTATGGTGGTATTATAATGTGATGGTCAATCCAACTATTTGTTGGGAAAGAGTAGCCCAAGAGTTGGTGGCGGGTGGTGTTGGCTAATTGCCTTCTTTCTAGTCTGTCACAAGAAAAAATAGGAATGGCTTGCACAGATAGACCTCGAGTAGCTTTGCGTGAAATTCAACAAAACAAACATTGGTAAACATAACAACAAAATGTATTATCAGTTTCATGTGGTGAGTTTTACTGACATTTAGGAAAGTGTCCGGAGGATTTCTCTGTGCTTTAGTGTTCTTGTTTTGTAATAAAGGTTTCAAACTTAGATAAAATAAAACTTTGAATCATAACATACATTATAATATTAATTTCATTCATGTACATTAATAGTAAAGGTGTTTAATTAAATTTTAAATTTAACAGTGACTTGCGCAGAAAAACGTTTAAATGGGCTTCAGTTGCAAAGCTGTAAGTACTATTGATAAGCTGAGCAGAGTGTAGTGGAGCATGCATGGACTGTGAATTTGAGGATGTATGGTTCGTGTCCCATTGATGCAAAAAAATGTTATATACTTTGAGGCTGTGGGTGTGCTATAAGAGTGATAGTATAATTTCAATAGTTAATAGACAAGAATTGGCTGTGGGGGTTATTGACTAGCTGCTTTCCATTTACTTTGCCAAAGTTTAGTAATGGTTATGCACAGGTAGCCCTTATATAACTTTGCACAAAATTCTGAAACAAACAAATACTGGTGGAGTTATTTGATTCGTCTAGTTTCTTGATTGATCTGTAGAATATATACCATTTGATAAAAATAAATAGTTTAAGTGACATAGCTAGTATATATATGAATATAGGAAGCTACATTTCTAATCCATATGTTTTATTTCTCTAGGGTAAATTTTGACCATAAACACCCTAAAGTTGCTGAAACCCTTCTAGACTATGGGTTTTATCTGCTAAATGTAGACTCGATCAACAAGTCAGTCAAAGTGTACCAGGTAAGATAAGACTTCGGGTTGCATTTCAGGCTGCTCTATTTTTTTTTGTAAATGAAAAACTGATGAAATGGAATTAACAGTATGTATTTGAACAATATTAAATTTTGTATCAATTTAAGAAAGAAATTTATATTAAGAGTTGAAAGTTAGTAGTATAAATAATCTTTTTGAAAAATAAAATATTTAATTTAGACATTAACATAGAAATTTATTTATTCTGTGGTCAAAATTAGTTAGGTAATGATTATAATTTCTAGTGAGTGTTCTAAGATATACAGTCTGTTTTTAATCTAATGAGGAAACTTATATAAGGTTTTGTTTTTTGTTAAGAGTCTACTGATGAAAAAGCCATTTATACAACTTTTCTTGCAGTAAGAAATGTATTTTTAGTTACTCACCTAAAATATTAAAAATCTAGACTATTGTATTAAAGTTAGGCCTGGCGTGGCCTAGTGACTTAGGACAGTCGACTCACAATTTGAGAGTGGTGGGTTCGAATCTTGTCACCAACCATGCTCACCCTTTCAGCTGTGAGAGTATTATAATGTGAAAATCAATTCTACTATTCATTGGTAAAAAGTATGGCAAGAACTGACAGGGCGTGGCATTAAATAGTTGTCTTCCCTCTATCACTTCTTGCTTGTAAAAATGCAATTATCAATTTCTTCAGAATTTTTCTGCCTATCTCAAAGCATACACTTATGTTTGTTTCAAAACTATAATTTTTTGATAGTATAATTATCAATGTTTTGTTTCTTATGTGATGTCTTTCTCTTTCTCTGAATTTTATTGGTAGAGCCTTTCGATACCCACCCTTTTATAACCTCACTGCATGTGATTGAAAAACAACTAATGAAATTCAACTTTCAAAATATCTACAGGCAATATTTCAGAAACATTTGATGGAGTAGTTTATAAACTTTTTACATCAATGTATAGTGAATATAGTAGTATCAGAAGTAATTTATGTTTTTTTTTTTAAACTGACAAGATTGGGGCCTTATTCTTAAGTCTTCTAAATTTCTCTCTACGGCATTAAATTTTATTTGTTTGAAAATTGTGGAAAATTTCTTCTGTGACAATACACGAGGTAAGCCTTGTTAGGCTTAGAAAGTATGATAGGCAAGGTAAGCCTTGTTAGGCTTAGAAAGTATGATAGGCAATGACACAAATATAACTCAAATCCTTATTTATTGATTATTATGTAACTAAAGAACATTTTAATTTATTGAACAGAAAGTATGTTTATTAAGTATAAATTGATTTCAACCAAGAATATTTGTTACCAAAAATATTGTTGTCTAGTCTGACCTGACACCATTTTGAAAGGTTAGGTCCTAGGGCCAGGGGCGGATTGGGATGGCTGAGCGGCCCGGGACTGGGATCACAGAGTGGCCCTGGACAGGTTTTCTGTTAAACTTTTTATTCCGATGATTTACCGCTCTCAAAACTCACGCGACGTCCCTGTTCCGCATTGTTATGTTTCTGCTACATGAAAGGATGCTTTTCAGGTGATATTGTCATTTTAATAAAACGAAAAATAAATCATAAAGGTTGAAATGTGTCATAACTTTCTAAAATCGCACATTCAAG